CACCCCAGCTGGCAGGGACACCGAGGGACCCCTGGAGCAGGACAGGGAGCACAGAGCCCTCCTCACCTCCTCCTCCTTGTCCGTGAAGGTGGCGTCGGCATCGCGGCCGTCGGGGCCCAGGGAAGTGGGGAGCTTCTCCTTCCTAGGGAAAAACGGGCTCAGGATCCATGGAATGGTGGCAAAGGGTCCCTCCAGCCCTGCTGTGGCCCCTCCAGGTGGGAAAATCCCAAAAAACAACGGGGTTTTCCTTCTTGTTTGTGTCAGTGTGAAAGTCCAAAGGAGCTGGCAGCACATTCCGAAGGGATTTTCCTTTTGGAAAAGGCTCTGCCAGGCTCCTCTGGACTCCTGAATCCCCCTGAACCAGCAGGAAAACCATCCCTGGTTTTGTGTGTTATCCCTGTGATGGCATTCCTAGGCCTGGGATGCACCTCCCAGGGCAGGGATGGGAGTGGGGATGGCCCAGGATCAGGGCAGCACCAGCACAGACCCAGAGCAGGGGTTCTGCAGGACAAATTCCCCTCTGGGAAGGGAAAATTCCCCTCTGGGAAGGGAAAATCCCACTCACTTTTTCTTGGAGATGCAGTCCAGTGTCTGGCAGACCAGCATGTACAGGTATTCCACCTGGAAAACAGCAGCTGGGGCTGGGAAAGGGGGGAGCAGCTCCTGGGAAAGCCCCTCCACCCAAGGGACTCCCCCCTCCCACTATGGAGGTGAATTCCACGGGGGTTTGGTGCTCTTTTCCCTTTTTTTCTGCAGTTCCAAGGCCAGACTGGGGGAAATCCCTGGAACTGGAGCAGCCTGGGACAGTGGAAGGTGTCCCTGCCCACGGTGGCACTGGATGGGCTTTGAGGTCCCCTCCCACCCAAAACATTCCGGGACTTCGTGGTCAAAAAGCTCCAACATCCCAGGATTTTGTGACAAAATAGGATTTCATTTTGGAGAAATGGAGACCAGCAGAATTCCTGCCGTTCCCTGGGGCTGCCAACACCTCCAAAGGGACCCAATTTCGGAACGACGAGCCGAAATCCCTTCGTCCCCACCAACAACCCGAAGCCAAGGGGGGATTCCGGGGCGACCCCAGGGGTCCTGGGGTGGGATGGGCACGGGGCAGGGGCCAGCTCTGGGCTCACCTTCCTGCTGTAGATGCAGGCAGAGCCCTGGATCAGCAGCGCTGCCTCCATGAAGTTCATGGTGGTCCTGCCGTTGTCGAAGGAAATGCAGATCTGGTCCAGCTGCAGGGGCAGGGGTTCATTTCACCTTTACACAGCTGAGGGTGCTGGAAAAGGCTTCGTTCTGCTGTCAGTCTCCAGGAAGGGTGGGACATACGAGATGTAAAACCCAGCTAACTTATTTTCTATTAAAAGCTAACTCGTTTTCTGGTTACAACACCTTATAAACGTTTTTCACTCTGCCACACAGTATTGCTGTTAATTGTAACGTTAATCACTTCTATTTTCACTCCACGTGGTCTTGCTACCATGCATCTTTCCCTGTTTTAATTCTCTAAAATTAAATTTTTAATTGAATTAAAATTTTAATTCTTTAAAATTCTTTTGCAAGGCTGTATTTTGAAACTTGTTTCTAGTTCAATCTTCTAGTTCGATTTCTCTCTCAACAATGCCATTTAGATTTTATGGCTTTAAATGAGCACAACTTATTTCAGTGTTTGCACTTGTTTCTAGTTCAATCTCTCAATAATGCCATTTATATTTCATGGCTTTAATGAGCACAACTTATTTCAGTGTTTGCACTTGTTTCTAGTTCAATCTCTCAATAATGCCATTTCTGTTTCATGGCTTTAATGAGCACAACTTATTTCAGTGTTTGCACTTGTTTCTAGTTCAATCTCTCCCTCAGCAATGCAATTTCTGTTTCATGGCTTTAATGAGCACACCTTGTTTCAGTGTTTGCACGCAGATGTGTAAAACTGCGAGAGCTTTCTGTGAGGTTTTGGGAATTCTCCACAAATCTGTTCCTCACGGGCAGGGAGGAGAGGCTGGGCCTGGCAGGGTTTGGGGTGCACAGGGACAGGGATGAGGGGGTGGCACAGAGCCTGGGAAAGGTGCCATTGTCCCCAGGGCCACCACCCCGGCTGGATGGGTGAGCCGGGAAAATGGGGCCGTGGGGGGAGAAAGGAGGGATAAAAACAGGGGGAAAAGGAGGGGGAAAGAGAGGGATAACAGGAGGAAAAATGAGAGAGGAAAGGGAGGGAGGAAAGGAAGAAAAGGAGGAAAAAGAGAAAGAAAAGGAGGAATAAAAAGAGGGAGAAAAGGAGGGGGAAAGAGGGCAATAAAAGGAGGAAAAAGGAGAAAAGGAGGGGGAAAGAGAGGGATAATAGGAGGAAAAATGGGAGAGGAAGGGAGGGAGGAAAGGAAGAAAAGGAGGAAAAAGAGAAAGAAAAGGAGGAATAAAAAGAGAAAGAAAAGGAGGGAAAAGGAGAAAAAGAAGGGGAAAGAGAGAGATAAAAGGAAGAAAAGGAGGGAGGGAAAGAGGGATAAAAGGAAGAAAAATGAGAGAGAAAATGAGGGGGAAAGAGAGGAATAAAAGGAGGAAAAAGGAGAGAGAAAAGGAGGGATAAAAAGAGGGAGAAAACAAAGGGGAAAGAGAGGGATAAAAGGAAGGAAAGAAAGAAAAAGGAGAGAGAAAAGGAGAGATAAAAAGAGAGAAAATGAAGGGGAAGGAGAGGGCTAAAAGGAAGAAAAGAAAGAAAAAGGAGAGAGAAGACAAGGAATAAAAAGAGGCAGAAAAGGCGGGGAAAGAGAAGGATAAAAGGAGACAGAAAAGGAGGGATGAAAAGGAGGAGAAAGAGAGGGATAAAAAGAGAGAGAAAAGGAGGGGCAGGGGACACGAGGGGCCCTGGGGTGACCCTGTTACCTCCTCCAGGTACTCGCCCAGCTGGGCAGCCACGTCCACCTCCCAGTTCTTGGTGAGGTCACGGATGGGCTGCAGCAGGTGCAGGAAGCGGGAATCCACCTCTTCCATGGTGGGATCCTGCTGCAGACAGCCCGAAGGCGGCCTGGAAGCTCCCAGCTCTGCAGGAGGGGGCCCTCGGGGGTTCAGAGACCTGGGCTGCAGGGCAGGGGACAGCCCCAGGGGAAGCTCTGCAGGAATCACAGCTCAGCTGGGCAGGAACGAACGGGGACACAGCTCAGGCAACGGGGAATTGTTGGGGCTGGAAAATCCCCACCCCAACCCCAACAGCAATCCCAATCCCGACACACAGATCCCAACGCCACTGCCAAGCCTGGTCCTGATCCTGACCCTGACTGTGACCCCAGCCCCAATCCTGACCCTGACCCTGTGATCCCAGCCCAATCCTGACCCCAGCCCTGACCTGATCCTGACCCTGACTGTGACCCCAGCCCAATCCTGACCCCAGCCCTGACCCTGACTGTGACCCCAGCCCCAATCCTGACCCTGGTTCTCACTCCGACTGTGATCCCAGCCCTGACCTGATCCTGACCCCATCTTCAGCCCCAGCCCTGATCCTGACCTCAAACCTGACCCCAGCCTGGAACCCAATCCCAACCCTGATCCCGCTCCCCCAATCCCCCCAATCCCATCCCCTATCCCAACCCCTCGCCTGACCCCGACCCCAATTCCCATCCCTAACTCTGCCCCGGTCCCAACCTCAATCCCGATCCCACCCCCAGCTTCAATTCCGATCTTGATCCCGACCCCGATCCCCATGCAGATCCCGATCCCCATCCCATCGCTGCCCCAGCCGTGCTCTCAGCCTGGACCGTGATCCCGATCCCGGTCCCCATCCAATCCTCGATCCCCATCCCGATCCCGGTCTCCATTCCAATCCTTAATCCCGATCCCGATCCCGGTCCCCATCCAATCCTCAATCCCCATCCCGATCCCGGTCTCCATCCAGACCTCGATCCCAATCCCGATCCCGACCCCATCTAAACCTCAATCTCCACCGTGATCCTGACGCGATCCCGGTCCCCATCCAAACCTCGATCCCAGTCGTGATTCCAGTCGTGATCCCGGTTCCCTTCCAAACCTCGATCCCGACCCTGATGCCGGTCCCGGTCCCCATCCCGACCTCAATCTCCACCGTGATCCCGACCCGATCCCGGTGCCCATCCAAACCTCGGTCCCGGTCCCAATCCCGATCCCGGTGCCCATCCAAACCTCTGTCCCGGTCCCAATCCCGATCCCGGTGTGGGCTGAGGGAACCGGGAGTGGGGCTGGGGAACCGGGACAGGGACGGGATAGGGTTGAGGGAACCGGGACAGGGACGGGATAGGGCTGAGGGAACCGGGACAGGGACGGGAGTGGGGCCGGAGAACCGGGACAGAGCGGGGAATGGGGCCGGGGGAACCGGGACAGGAATGGGAGTGGGACCGGGAGAACCGGGATAGAGCCGGGAATGGGGCCGGGGGAACCGGGACAGAGCCGGGGGAACCGGGACAGGGACGGGAGAACCGGGAGAGGGCCGGGAGTGGGGCCGGGAGAACCGGGATAGGTCCGGGAGTGGGGCCGGGGAAGCGGGAAGAGCTGCGGACGTGGCCGCTGGGAGCGATAGACCGGGACGGGAGCGGGCTCGGGGCTCGGGGCTCGGGTCCGTCCCCTCCCGCAGCCGGGCTGGTCCCTCCGCACCCCGCTGGCATTCCCCTCCTCCCGCCGCCTCCATCTCCCGTTTCCCTCCCTCGTTTCGCTTTCCCGGGAGCACCGGCGGTCCCGGCGCGGCCCCGGTGCCCGGAGCCGCCTCCCGTCCCTCTCCCGTCCCTCTCCCGTGCCTCCGGCAGCTCCCGGCTCGCAGCTGGGCTCTGCCGGGATCCGGGCGGGATCCAGCCCGGGACGGCCCGGTCGCACTCCCGGGGCCTCGCGTTTGTCCCGGCTGGGGCTGCCGGCTTTTTCCTGGGAATGCCGGATTCTTTTTTTTATTTTTTTTTCCCCGGGAATGTCGGGTTTGTTTGGGTTTTTTTCCCGGGAATGCCGAGTTTATGCCGGGTTTTTCCCGGGAGTGCCGGGTTTTTTTCCCGGCAATGCCGGGTTTGTTGGTTTGGTTTTTTTCCCCCCGGAATGCCGGGGTTTTTTTCCCATGGATGCTGGGGGTTTTTTCCCGGCAATGCCGGGATTTGTTTTCCCCAGGAATGGCACGTTTTTTTCCTGGGAATGCCGAGGGTTTTTTTCCCGGGAATGGAGAGTTTCTGCCGGGTTTTTTCCCGGGGGTGCCAGGGTTTTCCGGCAGGGCAATGCCGAGGTTTTTCCACGGGAGAGGGAATTAAGGAAGGATGAATGATCTGTGTGAGCCCATCCCTCCCAGGGGGGCTCTCACCTCCCAGGGGGGCTGTCACCTCCCACTGCTCCCAAGCCAGGGGGGTCTCTCCCCATGGGGAAGGGTCTGGGGGTGTCAGACCCCCCAGCTGATCCCCCACGCTCCCTCTCCGCAGGTGGGACAGGTGTTCCTGTACTTCCAGTGGTGAGTCAGGCCCCCCTCTGCGGGGCTTTTGGGGGGCTCAGGGCTGGGGAACCATCCTGGGCCCCCAGGGTGGGGGTTCAGTGGGGTGGGGGGCACAGGAGGTCCTGGAGGTGAGAGTGCAGCCTGGGGGGCTCACAGGTGAGAGTGCAGCTTGGGGGGCTCAGGTGAGAGTGCAGCTTTGGGAGTTCAGGTGTTGGTGAGGGGTGCAGCTTTGGGGGTTCAGGTGTTGGTGAGGGCGGCAGCTTTGGGGGTTCAGGTGTTGGGGGACTCACAGGGGAGGGGGAGCCTCAGCTCTTGGGGGCAGTCCTCCAGTTTTGGGGCTTGTGAAGCTCATGAGCTGCTGCCCCACATGGGGGCTCACAGTTGAGGGGTGCAGGTTTGGGGGTTCAGGCACTAGCCTGGAATTCCAGTGAATTAATGGAAAGTAGATTATGGAAAGCCCCCCCAAAGCCCCCTGTGTCCCCCAGCCCCAAGGTACCCCTCAATTTGGAAACATTTTTGCACCGGGAAGCTTTTCCTGGATTAGCACTGGTTATACTCTGTGACAGGAAAAGCCGGGGTTGCCCCGGGGTTGGGGTGAGTTTTTGGGAAGTAGATTATGGAAAGCCCCCCCTGGACCCCCCTGTGCCCCCCAGTGCCAAGGTACCCCTTAATTTGGAAGCACCATGAAGCTTTTCCCAGACTAGCACTGGCTGTACTCTGACGGGAAGAGCCGGGTTGCCCGGGGTTGGGGTGGGTTTTGGGGTTTGTGGCAATGCCCCTTGCCGTGCCCCCAGCGCTGACGTACCACTACGAGAGCCAGTGCATCCCCACGCCGGGCGCGTGGCTCGCCCACCAGCTGCCCGTGTGGTTCCAGAAGCTCAGCGTGGTGGCCACCTACGTCATCGAGGTGGCCGTGCCCGTGCTCTTCTTCGCGCCCCTGCGGCGCCTGCGCCTCTTCGCCTTCTACTGCCAGGTGGGCAGGGGGCTGCTCGGGGGTGGGCAGGGGGCTGCTCCTCTGGGGAGGGCAGGGGGCTCATCCCTTGGGGGTGGGCAGGGGGCTGCTCCTCTGGGTGGGCAGGGGGCTCATCCTCGGGGTGGGCAGGGGGCTCCTCCTCGAGGCTGGGCCGGGGGCCACTGCACTTCAGGGGGGCTGCTGCAGGCGTTTGCTTTGGTAATTTGGAGTTTTACTAGTTTGGGGTTTTTTTGGGTGGTGTACTGGTGAGTGTGGTGGGTTTAGTGTTGGTTAATTACTGGTGTGTTCGCCTTCTGTTGATTTGGGATTTTATTAATTTTGGGATTTTCTGGGTGGTGTGCTAATGAGTGTGGTGGGTTTAGTGTTGTTAATTACTGGCGTGCTCACCTTTTGTTGTGAGGTTTAATTAGGAAAAAGGTAAAGTGGGTTTAAAACTTTAAATGGATATTAAGAAAAATTTATTCACAGTGACTAAAAGAAAAGGTAATAAGAATTAGAATAATTTTCTACAGTGCTTTTCTTGTCTTTAAAAGTTTTTTTTTCCTTACTGGCGACATAAAGAAAGAAAACTTAAAATTTTGGTTAATTATTTTTAGAATAGGGATTTTTTTCATTTACTTAGGGAGAAAAACAATTTTTGTTAATGGTACCCAGTGTCCTGTGGCCTTCAGTGCTGTGGCACCCCCAGGCCAATGACATCCCAGTGCTGTGACACCCCCCTTGTGCCCTCTGGCATGCCAGGGGGACCCCAGGGAGCTTCTCAGGGGAGGGGGGATCTCACTCCGGGGGTGCTGCAGGGGCTGGGTGTCCCATGTCCTGTGTTCTCTGTCACCCCCCGGGTCCCTTTGTGCCCCCCATTGTGCCAGGGGGGTCCCCATGGGGGGTTCAGGGGTCTGGGCTTGGCTCCTCACTCATGGGGACATGTCCTGTGCCATCTGTCCCCAGCCCTGTGACCCCCCCTTGGTGCTTGGGGGTCCCCCTGGGGGGTTCAGGGGTCTGGGCTTGGCTCCTCGCTCAGTGGGCACTGGGACATGTCCTGTGCCATCTGTCCCCAGCCCTGTGACCCCCCTTTGTGCTTGGGGGTCCCCATGGGGGCCTCTCCAGGGCTGGGGTTCCCTTGTCCCCGTGGGCACTGGGAGGTGACGTGGCCACGCTGGAGGTGCTCTCGGGGTGTGCCCTGTGTCCTCTGTCCCCCCAGCCCTGTGACACCCCCCACCCCCCCTCCCGTCCCCCCCAGGTCCTGCTGCAGGTCCTCATCATCCTCACGGGCAACTACAACTTCTTCAACGTGCTGACCATCGTGCTGGCCTTCTCCCTGCTGGACGAGGAGCACGTGGGGCGCTGGCTGGGCCGGCCCCGCAAGAGGCACGGCAGTGGTGAGACCCCCGAGCCCACCCCGGGGTGGGGGGCTTCCCTGGGGGACTGGGGACGTGGGGGCCGTGCTGTGGGAGCTGCCACACTCAGCCCAGCGCGGGGATGTGAGGCACAGCTGTGAAATCAGGGAGTGGTGGGGAGGGAAGGGACCTTAAATTCCCATCCCGTTCCAGCCCCCCATGGCAGGGACACCTCCCGCTGTCCTGGGGTGCTCCAAGGACACCCAGGCTGGCCTGGAGCTGCACAGGGACTGGGGACAAGGGATGGACAGGACACAGGGAATGGCTGCCAGTGCCAGAGGGCAGCCATGGATGGGATCTTGGCCATGAGGAATTCCTGGCTGGGCTGGAATTGCCAGAGCAGCTGGGGCTGCCCCTGCATCCCTGCAGTGTCCAAGGCCAGGCTGGACACTGGGGCTGGAGCAGCCTGGGACAGTGGGAGTGTCCCTGCCATGGCAGGGTGGCACTGCAGGGGCTCTGAGGTCCCTTCCCACCCAAACCATCCCAGGATTCCCTGGATCCTCCCTGGTGTTGGGGCTGGAGCTCCAATGGGTCAGAGCCGGGTGTGGGAGGAGGTTTCACTTCCCTTTGAAATCGGGGAATTAAGGATAAACAATCTGTGTGAGCCCATCCCTCCTGGCATTGCTGTCAGCCCACAAGGGGCTCCCACCCTTTGGAATTCTGTGTCCCAGTGAGGCTCTGCTGCTCCTGGGCCTTTCCCTCCTCCCTCCCTTTCACTGCAGCGCTGGAAGCAGTGTGACCCCCAGCATCCCTGGTTTGGGGGGTCCTTTCAGGGCTGGACAGGGGACAGGTGACGCCGAGGGCAGGGCCCTGTGCCCGTGGGTGACCCCGGGGCTGTGAGGGGGTCCCAGGCAGGCTCTGAGCCCCTCCCTGCCTCAGGCTGGCCCCCCAGCCTGGGCTCGGTGCTGGGCACGCTGCTGGAGCTCAGCACCTACGGGCTGCTGCTCTGCTGGACCGTGCGCTGCTTCGGCCTGCAGCTCGACTGGGACAGGAGGCTGCTGGACTCCAAAGTGGGTAGGTGCCAGGGGCACGGCCCCGTGCCCTCCCTGCGGCCGCCGGGGCTGGCCTCACCCGCGCTGTCCCTCCCTGCAGCCTTCACCTACCACGAGTTCACCACGTGGCTGCGCACCGTGACGCTGCCGCTCGTGGGGGTGGCCTTCCTGTCCCTGTCCTGGGAGATCCTGGTGGCCATGTACCGGTGGGTGTGGGGACACCGGGGTGCTCCCGGGGCTGTGGGGGACACCGGGGTGAATCATGGGGGTGTGGGGGACACTGGGGTGCCCTCGGGGGCATGGGGAACACTGGGGTGACACCCTGGGAGCTGGCAAGGGGTGACCCCACTCTGGGATTTGAGCTGTCAGACGCAGCCTGGGGGGGGTTTAACCCCCCAAACTGGGGGGGCTGAGCCTCTTTGCCCCCATAACACCCCATTTGTGCCCCCCCAGCTGTGCCTGTGTGCGGGGATGCTTCTGGAAGCTCTGGGCCACCCTGCAGTGGGCCATCATGGCCACGGCCACCGTGAGCCTGTTCGCCGTTAGCCTGGTGAGGCCTGGGGCCACGGGGCTCTCGGGGACCCCCAAACCCCCCTGAGGCCCTGACAGAGCCCCCTGCCCCCCAGGTGCCCTTCACCTACATCGAGCACGAGTCCAACGGGAAGCTGTGGCCCGGGATCCACCAGATGTTCGGGGCCGTGGAGCGCTTCCAGGTGGTCAATTCCTACGGGCTCTTCCGCAGGATGACCGGCGTGGGCGGCCGGCCAGAGGTCATCCTGGAGGGCAGCTACGACGGGCACAGCTGGACAGTGAGGCTGGGCACTGGGCAATGGGCACGGGAATGGGCACGGCTGGGCACAGAGGCTGGGCTGGGCACAGAAACGGGCACAGCTGGGCACAGCTGGGCAATGGGCACAGCAATGGGCACAGCTGGGCACAGAGTCTGGGCTGGGCACAGCTGGGCACTGAGCAATGGGCACAGCTGGACACAGAGTCTGGGCTGGGCACAGCTGGGCACTGCGCAATGGGCACAGCTGGGCACAGCAATGGGCACAGCTGGGCACAGAGTCTGGGCTGGGCACAGCTGGGCACTGAGCAATGGGCACAGCTGGACACAGGGTCTGGGCTGGGCACAGCTGGGCACTGAGCCAGGGGTGAGGACACAGAATCGGGGCTGGCAAGGGGGTCTGAGCTCATGGAGTCCAAGCTCCAGTCCCACAATGCCCAAACTCCCAAGGCCCAGTTTTTCCTGCCAAGGAATTGCCCCAGAGCTCCTCCTGCCAAGGCCAAGGGGCAGCCGAGGGCAGGAGCAGGGAATGGTGCAGTTGGTCTGGTTGGAATCATGGAGGTCGTGCAGTCCAACCGTTCCCAGCACTGCCCGGGCCACCCCTGCCCGTGTCCCCAAGTGCCACATCCACACAGCTTTGACATCTCTCCAGGGGTTGGGGACTCCAGCCTGTGCCAGGCCTGGGCACAGCTGGGCACAGCTGGGCACAGAGTCTGGGCTGGGCACAACTGGGCACTGAGCAATGGGCACAGCTGGGCACAGCAATGGGCACAGCTGGGCACAGAGTCTGGGCTGGGCACAGCTGGGCACTGAGCTAGGGGTGAGGACACAGAGTCGGGGCTGGCAAGGGGGTCTGAGCTCATGGAGTCCAAGCTCCAGTCCCACAATGCCCAAACTCCCAAGGCCCAGTTTTTCCTGCCAAGGAATTGCCCCAGAGCTCCTCCTGCCAAGGCCAAGGGGCAGCCGAGGGCAGGAGCAGGGAATGGTGCAGTTGGTCTGGTTGGAATCATGGAGGTCGTGCAGTCCAACCGTTCCCAGCACCGCCCGGGCCACCCCTGCCCGTGTCCCCAAGTGCCACATCCACACAGCTTTGACATCTCTCCAGGGGTTGGGGACTCCAGCCTGTGCCAGGCCTGGAGAGCCCTTTCCAGGAGGAATTTTCTCAATATCCAACCTAAACCTTCCCTGGTGCAACTCGAGGCTGTTTTCTCATCCTGTCCCTCACTGGGATTAGAGCCACCCTGGGTCCTTTTCCTGGGGCCGAGGTGACCCTGGGCAGGACCACTGGGATCATTGGTGGGATCAGGTTCTGGAGGTGTCCTGCCCCAGAATCCCGGGATTTTGGGTGGGAATGTCCTTTTCCTGGGCCTGAGGTGACCCCAAGCAGGATGAGACACGTGGCTGGGGACAGCACCCTGTCACAGAATCCCAGGATTTTGGGTGGGAATGTTGTTTTGCTGGGGCTGAGGCGACTCCAGGCACTCGGTGGGATTGGGATCCGGAGGTGTCTCTTACAGAATCCCAGTGGACAGGGGACATGGGGGATCTGGGGACACGGGGCTGGGGGCTCTGGGACACAGGCTATCGTGGGACCTCCCCAGCATCAGTGCCACTGTGGTTTTGGGGTGTCCATGTTTGGGTTTGGGGTGTCCCCACAGCCTTGGAGGTGTCCATGTTTGGGTTTGGGGTGTTCCTGCAGCCCTGGAGTGTCCCCGGGTGTATTTGGGTGTCCCTATTTAGGTTTGGCGTGTCCCTGGCTGTGTTTGGGGTGTGCTGGGGCTGTCCCCGGGTGTGTTTGGGGTGTCCCGGCTGTGTCTGGGGTGTGTCCGGGCTGTCCCCGCCCTGCTGGGGTGTCCCCGGGTGTATTTGGGTGTCCCTATTTAGGTTTGGGGTGTCCCTGGCTGTGTTTGGGGTGTGCTGGGGGTGTCCCTGGCTGTGTTCGGGCTGTGCTGGGGCTGTCCCTGGCTGTGTTTGGGGTGTGCTGGGGCTGTCCCCGGGTGTATTTGGGGTGTCCCGGCTGTGTTCGGGGTGTGTCCGGGCTGTCCCCGCCCTGCTGGGGCTGTCCCCGGGTGTATTTGGGTGTCCCTGGCTGTGTTTGGGGTGTGCTGGGGCTGTCCCCGGGTGTGCTGGGGCTGTCCCTGGCTGTGTCTGGGGTGTGCTGGGGGTGTCCCTGGCTGTGTTCGGGGTGTGTCCGGGCTGTCCCCGCCCTGCTGGGGCTGTCCCCGCCGTGTCCCCTGTCTGACCCCTTCCCGCAGTGATCCGCCTGGTGCAGACGGACGAGTCCCGGTACCCGTTCCACGGCCGCCCGCCCACCTTCCTGCGGGCCCAGCTCTACAAGTACTGGTTCACGGCCCCCAACGAGGGCAGGTGAGTGGGGAGGGGCCCCTGCGGCCCCCAGCCCGGCCTCGGGGGGCTCTGGGGTCACCTGAGCCCCCTGTGCCCCCAGCCCGGGCGCGGCTCCGTGGTGGCGGCGGCAGCACGTGCAGGAGTTCTTCCCGGCCGTGTCCCTGGGAGACCCCACGCTGGAGTCCCTGCTCAGCCAGCACGGCCTCAAGGTGGGCACGGGGTGAGCCCTCCCTGGGCCCCAAGACCCTCCCTGGCTCCTGACCCCCGTCCTTCAGCACCCCTGACCCCCCTTGCCTTGCCCCAGCTCTCCCCCTGACCCTATTCCATTGCTCTTGACCCTCTCTTCCTTCACCTTGATCCCCTTCTCTCACCCTTGACCCCTCCCCAAGCCCCCTTTCCTCTCCCCTGACCCACTTCCCCCACCCTGAGCCCCCATCTCTCCCTCGTTCCCCTGGCCCCAGCTCCCCCCTGCCCCCTTTCCCCCAGGACAAGCCCCCCTCTCTCCGCCGCGCTGCCGCCGTGCTGCCGCGGCTGCTGGGCTGGGTGCGCCGCCTGTGCCAGCCGGTCTCGGGCCCTGCCCTGCTCTGGTCCCTCTACCTGGTGGCCGCCACCGCGGGGCTGCTGCGAGCCCTGGCCCGGCGGGCCCGGGGGGGACAAGCCCCCGCCCGCCACAAGGGAGCCCGGGAGCGCAACGGGGCGCGGGGCACGGAGGGGGCGCGGGGCACGGAGGGGGCGCGGCCCGAGGGCCGGCACGCCAACAAGAGGAAGAAGTAGCCCCCGCAGCCCCCCAAAATCGGGGGGCAGGGAGGGAGTCCCCGGGTGGGGGGGCAGCGCTTGTTGGAGCCCGGCGTGGGGGGGCCGTGTGGCAGTGCCTTCAGCACCGTGTGGCCTGGGACACACCCAGGCCTTGGGGACCCCTTGGGGACACCTCCCCAGTGTCCAGGCACTCCTGGAGACCTCTCCCTGCTAGCTGGGGACCCTCCCTAGGATTTGGGGGCTGCTTGGGGACATGTCCCAGTGTCTGGGGACCCTGCCCCCATGCCCAGGAACCCCTTGGGCTCCCAGCCCCAATAGCGGGGGACCCCTCCCCAGTGCCCAGGGACCCCTTGGGGACCCCTCCAGACCCCACAGTGTGGGGGCTCAGCACAGGTCAGGGGCTCAGAGCGGGTGGGGGCTCTGTGCCCGCGGGCTGGAGCAGTTTGGGCAGTGCCAGCCCTCCGTTACCCTGCCCGGCCCCTCAGGTCACTTTGGGGTCCCCCCTGGCACTTTGGGGTGCTCCCTCCTCGCGGGCTCTGCCCATCCCGTGGTTCCCCCTGCCCGGCTCGGCTCGAGCCCAGAGGTTTCCTATAATTTTCTAATTAAAGCCTTTGACATTCCAGCCCCGCGGCTCTCTTGGATTGGGGGGTCCTGGCCAGGGGTGCAGCAGGATCAGGTTTATTGCAGAGCCCCGGGGCGGGGCCCGGGGGTGCTGCGGGGGGCCCGGCGGGGTTGGGGGGTCACCAGCAGAGCTGCCCCGGGCAGTATTTGTCGATGAGGCCCTGGTAGTACGCGCGGAGCTGCTGCACGTCGGGCAGCTCCTCCTGCTTGGTGTACAGGTCGAACTTGCTGCGGGGCAAACGGGGGGTCAGGGCGGGGGGCCGGACCCCCCCCCAAAGGCGCGGGGGGCCCGGCCGAGCCCCCAGCCCCCCCGGGCACGCACTTGAGCTCGCGGAGCCAGGGCAGCATGCGGCGGTCCTCCTCCGAGCACAGGTGCCCGTAGTCGCCGTGGGCGTGCCAGGGGTAGAAGGAGTGGAAGCGAACCATGTAGAAGGCCTGGGGTGGGGGGGACACGGGTTTAGGGTGCTCCCCCCGCACCCCCAAACCCGCCGGGGGTCCCTGAGCCCCCCCCCGTGCTGGGCTCACCTCCTTGGGCAGGGCGAAGTTGTTGAACTTCATCACTTGGTACATGTACTCTGAAAAGGGGGGGGCGTGGGGAGGGGTTGGACCCCCACCGGGGGGGGACCCCGAGAGGTGCAGAGCCCCCCCGGAGTCACAGAGCCCCCCCGGGAGCTGCAGCCCCTGCAGTCCTTGCAAAGGGGGCAGTGGGGGGGTCAGCGCAGCCCCGGGGGGCACCAGGGCCCCGTTTGGAGCGGGGGGCCCGCCCTGCCCCCAGGAGGGGCCCCCCCAAACTCACCATCGTGGCCCCAGGACATGAGGACGTTGTCCAGGCCGCAGCCGGGCTGGTACATCCCGTACTCGGTGCTGGGGATGGGGCAGGGCTGAGGGGCTGGACCCCCCCCGCAGCCCGGCGGGGCCGGGGGTGCAGCCCCCGCCCCCAAACCCCCGGGGGTCCGCCTCACCTGTACCGGGGGTCTTTGGTGTCGGGGTTGTCGTGGAAGGTGGAGTCCCCGTAGACCACCGACTTCTGCACCTTGCAGCCCACCGGGAAGGTGTCCCCGACCACTGCCCACTGCCGGGGGGCACGGGGGTCACAGCACCCCCCGAGGGTCCCCCGGCCGCGGGGGGAGCCCCCCGAAGCCCCTCCCCAGCGCGCCGCTCACCTGGGGCTCCCCGAACAGCACCAGCACCTTGCCCAGGTCGTGCAGGAGCCCCACGAGGTGGAACCAGTCTGGGGGGAGCGGGGCCGTGTCACCCCCGGCCGGGGACCCGGCGGGGGACAGGCCGGGCGGCCGCGGGACCCGGCCCCACCTTTGTCGGGGTGCGCCCGGCGGATCCCCTCGGCCGTCTGGAAGGCGTGGAAGGAGTTGGGGAAATCCACGTCGGGGTCCGACTCGTCCACCAGCCGGTCCAGCAGCTGCAGCGCCTCCATCACGCTCATCCTCCGCTGCGAGCACGGGCCGTACTGCGCGCTCTGGGGACAGCGACGCGTGGGGACAGCGCCAGCCCCTCGGCGCTCGCTGCCCCTCGGTGCCCCCCGACGGGCTGGGATGGGGCTGCGGGGGGAGGGCTGGGACACCCCCGCCCCGCTCTGGTGACACCGGGGCACAGGGCACGGTGACACCGGGGGACGCGGGGTGACATCGGGGGACAGGGAGTGGTACCGGGGGGAACGTGGGGTGACACCGGGGGACGCGGGGTGACACCGGGGGACAGGGGCTGACACCGGGGGACGCGGGGTG